TTTTGGTGTCCAAGGTGAATTTGGGAGCAGAGAACTCCTGTGTGGTGCCCGTGTACCCTGAATGCTGAGGATCCTCCTGAGCATCCTCCTGAGCACTACTCCTGACGTGGTGCTGTCTCTGTCTCATCTTTCAGAGTGCAGAGATGCCCTTCTGCCCCTGCTGATCGACCAGCTGAGTGGGCAGCTGGATGACAATTCCCACAAGCCTGGCCACGAGGCCAGTTCCCAGCTGCTGAGCAGCGTTCTGGAAGTGCTGGACAGGAAAGATGTGGTGAGCATCAACTCCCAAGGGTGCCACTTCTTCTTTGGAGTGGTTATGGTAAAAAAATTCATCTCAACTTATACTTTAAAGCATTAGGAAGTTGTGATGTTTACAGAAATGGTGTTGCACTGCCGGGGAGTTCTTTGTAGAACTGCGGGTTTTTTCTCTGTGTCTAAAAAGGAGCCAGGAAATGTTGAATTAGTCATTATCACACGGTACTAAAAGCCATTACTTCCCTTTCTAGGGGACAAAATGTTATCCCAGCTACTCTGGTGACTTGTTGAATAATTTGGAGCAAGTCATGGAAGTGTTTGGTTTCTGTGCAATGGGCACATGGCTCAGTCTGGGGAACACAGTTACTGCCCACAGTGGTCCTGGACATTGATTCTGAGTTGCTGGGGAAACACTGCTTTGACCTGAAGAGCTGTTCAGGGAAAACAAAGCCCAGTCAGAGCAGCAGGATGAGCTAATGAAGCTGGGCCAGATCAATGAACTGAGCTGCCCACCAAGTGAACACCTCCAGCATTTGAATCGATTGCTCGAGGGCTTAAATCTCCTTTTTTTTTTGCTTCCTCTAATGGCAATAAACCACTGTCAGGGCAGTCCCCCCGCCCAGGGAGCTCTCTCTGGGGTAATGTCCTTTAAGAATGGGTCTCTCATTTTGCTTTTTGCACCTCCCCAGGGCCCCACAGCTCTGCACATCCAGCTGATCATGGAGCGCCTGCTGAGGAGGATCAACCGCACGGTGATCGGGATGAGCCGCCAGTCCCCTCACATCGTGAGAGCCTTTCACTTCCTCACTTTTACCACTTTTTCAGGGTGGAATTTATTCCCCTGGGAGGTTTCAGCACATAGCAGTGATTTATGGAGTAATCTTTCCCTTTCCTGCAAGAATTCTGTGCCCTCACATGTGGCTTTGGGTAGTTTTGCTGAAGGGTTGGGGTACGAGGTGTCCTGCTCCAGCTGGGATAGGAGGTGTCCTGATCCAGCTGCACCTTGAACTGATTCACTGGGCTGTGATTTCCAGTCCCTTTGGGCCCTGGTGCATGGAGAAGTTGGTTTCAGTGCAGTTTCTAACTGCAGACACGAGGAGTCTGCTGAAAAAATGCTCCTTTTATCACCTTGGCTGAATGGGATTAAATACTGAGGGGTAACACATCCCTAAGGGGCATTTCTGACTGCTGGAGTACCTTAGAAGGTGTAAACACTTGGAATGCTTTAATTTTCCCTGTATTTCATGCCCAGAAAGGTGGAAAAAATCAAGAGCTGGGAATATGTCTTATTTTTGTTAGTATATTACCCATGGGAATTGCAGCTGGCTCTGCTAAACCTAAAACTCAGAGAATTGAGTTGGAAAAGACCCTGAAAATCAGAGAATGGGGTTGGAAAAGACCCTGAAAATCAGAGAATGGGGCTGGAGAAGACCCTGAAAATCAGAGAATGGGGCCGGAGAAGACCCTGAAAATCAGAGAATGGGGCTGGAGAAGACCCTGAAAATCAGAGAATGGGGTTGGAGAAGACGCTGAAAATCAGAGAATGGGGCCGGAGAAGACCCTCAAAATCAGAGAATGGGGTTGGAAAAGACCCTGAAGATGTAGTTTGTGTGTGTGTATATCTATATATATATATATATATATATATATATAAAAATGCCATGTTGGGAAGATGTGTTTCTCTTGCAAAATGTGATCCCTGAGGAGAAAGAAAGCGACACCCAGATTTCATACTTGGATTTTAGGAAGTCTTGGCTGGTTCAGAGGACTGAAGAGTCCCAGGCTGATGTCAGGACTCAGATGATGCAGGACTGTGCTCGGTGACACTCAATGAGGTCACACTCAGAATTTACAGGAGAATAACCAGCATTTTGTTTTTTCCCTTTGCAGGGTATTTTCGTGGCCTGCATGACAGCCATCCTGAGGCAGATGGAAGATTTCCATTACAGCCATTACATCAACACTTTCAAAACCAAGCAGGACATTATTGTAAGTCAGCTTGGCTGGGGAATGAGCTCAGTGCTTTGGGAAGATCACTCCTGGGTTGGGTTTGGGCTGCACATAAGTCCCTAAAGACAGATTAAGAGCCCTGCCATGGGAAACCTGCAGGCCAGGTTAAAAACTTAAATTAATTAATTGATAGGAGAACATTTTTTATATTTTTTTTGCAAATGTTTTATTTTTCTCTTATGCAGAATTGCATATATATGTATATATTTATATAATATATATATAATATATATATTTATATATAATATATAATATATTATATAATATATATAATATATATTTATATATAATAT